GGGGATCTAAAGGTGAACAAGACAAATCTCCTCAAGAAATCGACAACTTAGTCCCAGGAGAGAATGCATTATAATGCAGAGCAGGGCAGAATCAGCACCACAACAAAGGAACAAAGGAATATTTGAAGATTCAGAAAGAATGCAAGTAGTCAAGTGAGAGTCTCTTCAAGTTCACTGCATCCCAATCCACTGGTTTTCTATGAGAGCATCCTGTTTGTTTTTTGCAGAACTCTTATCACTAGTTGTTTTGTTTTTGCCTAGTTTGTTTGTTTTCTTTTCTGTTCGTATCATTTCACTGACAGCTGTACTAGGGCAAGACATTTGCTTGTCTGGTTTTACTGCCACAGTGTTAGATCTTGACAAAGTGCATGGCCTACAGTAGATGATGAGTTGTTGTTGTTAAGTACCGTGGAGTCGGTTCCGACTCATAGCGACCCTGTACAGGGTTTCCAAGGCTGTAATTCTTTACGGAAGTAGAACTCCTCATCTTTCTCCTGTGGAATAGCTGGTAGTTTTGAACTGCTGACCTTGCGGCTTGAAGCCCGATTCGTAACCACTATGCTACCAGATGATGAGTAAACCGGTATTAAAAGGATGCAAGAAAACAATAGGGTTTGCTGATTGTGTGTGTGTGTGTGTTTGTGTATGTGCACATGCATAGATTACTATATGTGCATATGTATGACTGTGAGTATTTGTGGGTGCCTGTGTGTTGTGTGCATTTTGTGTCAAGTGAATCCTAGCTTTTATTCTCAATTGCCCATGTCTACTGCTGGGATTCAGGCATGACTGTGCTTCTACCAGGCAAGTCTAGCAGAAATCTGTTTGCAGGCGGACCTAATGAGCCTCTGGGAAAAGAATTCACCATCTGGGAAAAATAAATCTGCAGACACGCTCCAGACAGTATCAAACCCTTCAGACGTTAGAAGGCAGAAACATTTCTGTGTATGAAATGCTATATTTCTGTTGGATGGCTGAAATGGACCTGCTGTTCATGTAGTCATTACTTGGCACTTCTGAAGTAAGGGCTACGTTTAAAATAGAAAGACCTGTTTTTATGGAATGCATTACACTATTTTAGAAAGCCCTACCAGAAAATCAAAACCATACTAGGTGATAACACAGGAAGAATTCCACATGAGGATAAGTTACAAAGTGCTATATCTAGCCTTCATAAGGGGACCTGGGGTCACAGGTAAGTTAACATCTGGGTGGAATGATTCCAAACCACATACCCAAAGATGCCCTTCTAAATGGGCATCTGGAGAAGACTTATCTGATACTCAATGGAATACCTGCCCATTTCCCAATGTCACCACTCAAAATGTGAATGCCAAATTAACCTTTGAAAATTGGGGACCAAGAAGACTCAATGCCCTAATCCTGGCCCTTTGAGACCCCCTTTCATTATAATGCATCCTCGATATTGGGATCCTGGATTAGTAGGACCAGTGCTATGTCTTAAATATACACCGAACTCATTTTCTCCTCTCTGGACTAACATATGGATATTAGCCCTCCTTTTCTGTTAGGACCCTTCAACATGGATGTTTTGTGCATCAAAATTGGTAGCCTACAGGATGGATTACTAACAGCTCTATTGATTCTTTATGATTTGCACAGCTTGCCCTTTTATCTTTGCCATAATAACAAAAACCAAAACCAAAATATTGTCACCTGGAATAATGATAGCCAGGTCCTTATCACAGTTTTCTCAAACAATGCTTTACTCACTCCATGTGTTACACATCAAAATATTACTGAAAACAACATATCACATATAATCATATTGAAACAAAGAAGCGAAGTTTGGCTGCCTGTAAACATATCCAGAAAAGGAGCTCTGGTAGCGTAGTGGTTACGAATCGGGCTGCTAATCTCACAGTTAGCAGTTCAAAACTACCAGCTGTTCCACAGTAGAAAGATGAGGCTTTCTGCTCCTGTAAAAATTTGCAGCCTCGGAAACCCTATGCGTGGTCACTATGAGTCGAAACCGACTCCATGGCACATAACAACAACAAAACATATCCAGAAAATGGGAAAGCCTTAACCCATGACAAATTATCACATATGCACTAGAAAGAATTAATAAAGTAAGATTCCTTGGAACACCAGTAAATACATATATGTAAAATATGACCACTGCCATGCAATCCCAGTTAGTTATTGATCAAGAGATTATGCTATGCAGTAGTTAAATGTTTTGGAAGTTGCTGTCCTCTTCTTAGGAGAAAGACAAGAAGCATTATGGACTGTCAACAGCTTACCTGTGATAGGCTCTTGGCCCAATGTTGTGTAACGGCCCTACCTTTTAACAACACAGATGGGACATGTATAAACAGGACCTTTCTTCAGCCTTTGCCTCCCCGTCCCCCCCGCCCCCCCAAGGCAAACGTTGATCTTCTACAAGAAAAATGGAAGAACAATTATTTCAACTCCAAAAGAAGGCTTCTAAACAAGACCTTGATCAACTTAATGCAGCCTTGTTGTTGCTGTTAAGTGCTGTATAGTCGATTCCAACCCATAGCCACCCTGCATATGGTTTCGAGGCCTTAGCATGGCTAAATCCAGAAGGCTGGTTTTCCGGCCTAAATCTAAAATTTTGGGCCAGGGTTGGGGGGATTCTTATTAATTTTGTTATTCTTTTTTTAAAATTTTGTTATTCTTGATGGTAGCTCTTTGCCAATGTGGAACCCCTTGGCAAAAAGAATTGAACTCTGCAAAAACTGCTTATCTTGTTTCTATATACCATTCCTTGTTATCTGGAGAGAAAGGGGGAGATGTGGCAGTTAATCTGACTCGGCTGAGAGAACTCTGAGACCTGAAGAAGGCCTGGGTCTCTTGATCTCTCTTGAGCACAGAACCGAAGATGGAACTGTACTGATCACAGTCATACCCTAGAGATGAAACAATGTTAACCTTTGAAAGATTGTTATGGTGTTTGTTCCTTGCTCCTCACTCACCCTTCCTGCTTAGGCGTGCAAAGAATGTTAATTATAAGAAAACAAATCATAACGATTTTCTACATAAGGTCTCTATGAGTCGGTACCGACTCGATGGCACCTAACAACTACAGAACCTTGACAAGGCTTAGCTGAGAGGAGCTAAGAGCCCCCCAACCATTCTTTGTTGTTGTTAAATGCTGTCGAGTCATTTCCGACCCATAGGGACTCTGTCTGTATAGGGTTTCCAAGGAGCAGCTGGTGAGCTCGAACCACCGACCTTGAACCACCGACCTTGTGGTTCAAACGACTTTGCAGTCCAGCGCATTAGCCTACAGCGCCACACCAGGAGCTCTGGTAGCGTAGTGTTTACGAATCGGGCTGCTAATCTTAGGGTCAGCAATTAGAAGCCACCAGCTGTTCCACGGGAGAAAGATGAGGCTTTCTGATCCTGTCAAGATTTACAGTCTTGGAAACCCTGTCCAGGGGCGCTATGAGTCGGAACTAACTCCACGGCGCACTACCACCACCACCATACCTGAAATGGAAATGACGCGTAATCACAATAGTATCAATAATATCACATCACTCTTTGGAGTATGTGAATTTCTTTCCGAAGGTCTGTGGGACCGGCCCTGACAACTAGCACCATAATTCAAACGCATCAATTCTTCACCATTTCATGCAATAACAGGAAGTAGTTATTATTAATCAACGTCATCCAGAGATGAGAGCAAGTAGAGGCCTTAACCATGGTCCTGCCCATTTTGGCACCCAGTACTTTATCATATCATCCTCAAAGCTTTCAGAGTTCCTTTGTGGTCATATCTGGGAAAGCAATATTTGACCAGGTATCCCTGAACTATGACTGTGAACCATATTGGCCCGTGGTCTCTAGTTCTCATCTTAAAAAGACTCTGTTATCCACCAGCTTGCATTAGGAGTTTACCAGCTAAATCAAGGAACTCCAAGCCTGAAGCCTATGTAGTGGTGCTGCGGTCCAGGGCTGGGACCTCATTCTAGGAGGGCTGCCTGCCATTCAGACTTTCTTCATGAGCCAGTGCAAGATTTCAGTTACATATTGCACTTACATGGTTCCATGGTTCCATGGTTTGAAATTCACTATTTTGTGCTACTTTTTTTCTTTCTTTCTTCATGTAGATAATTCTTTGAATAAAATTTTTTCTAAGGCTCATAGATATCAGGGGCATTTTTGCTATTTTACACATTTTAGATGAGTAAATATAAAGGAGCTTTGAAAAGTTCATTGAGACATTCAATTACCTTTCTATTCCATTTCCCCCTGAATTTTTTGAAGCTCCCTTATGTACCATTACTATAGAAATAATTTTTTTTTAACCCAAGATTGCACAACATCAAAACATTGAAGCCCAACTTTCTAAAGTAATGTTTTTGGTTCTACATTCTGAGCCTATTACTTTAAGTGAGAGTACACACCCTAGGTACTCAGAATAAGTTGGAGACTAGAAAAGGTAACCTAGATCTGGTTAGGGAGCAGGTAAAATCTAGGGAAATGGACACTAAATACCATTAAACAGACTCTGTGTTAAGCCAGGGTTGAGGTCATCTCTAGATTACTTCTATAATTGGATAGTTCTACAGTCAATTCAAACTTTAAATGAATAGAAAACTTGGAGGAAAACATAAAATATTTCACTCCTTTTGATCACAATATAACACCTTCACTTATTTTCATTATTCTGCCAGGAAAAAGGGAAGGATTCTTAGGGCTCATTACCTTCCAATTTTGTCTCTGTGCGAGACATACTTGAAAATGCATCAGTTTAGTGATTTGTTTCTCATGGGAACATAAAGGAAAGGGAAAAAGTCTCCAATTTGTTTAGTGAGGAAACATGACACACTCTTCTCAGGTGTGGCAAGTCAAGTAGTAGTGATTGAAATTCACATTCCTGGTGGGGGTATAAATATATGTGTGTGTATGAGTAGCTGCAAACCAAGTGAAAATCACTGGGATAGGAATTTGCCGGATTTTCCAGTTCAATTGTCAACGCCAGCTATATATCACAGATTTCTGTCATGAAGCTGAGTATTCTCTTCCTGCTGGTGACCATTGGCATTTGCAGTTACTCTGGTAGGTAACCTGGAGTATATGATATTCTTCTACTTCTCTGTTAATAGGAACATAACTAGTAAACCTAGGTTCATTAACAGTGGATATGGTGGAAGGAGTTTTAGAATCACAGAATAGCAAGCTTGGAAGGGAATTCGATGCCACCCAGTTCTAAATTCTAACCCAACATCAAAGTTATCCAAATCCCATGAAAGGTCAAGAAAGCTCATTTTATTTTAATCACTGGTTGCCACAAATGATTCGTGTTCCTTAATCTTGAGTCCAAATTTAACTTTTTAATATTGCTTTTGTATTTCTGAAACTGCATGGAGTTATTTGCTATCATCTCCATATTGCCAGGTTGCTTCTCCTGAGTCACAGGTACAATCATATATTCCCCTGCTCAGTGGATATTTCTTGAGTGACTACAAACTGTTGGACATTGGGTAAGCATTGGGGGATTCAGACATGAATCAGGCATAAATAGTGTCCTTAAGTTCAGTAGGGAAAATAAAACTATACAAGTTCGACAGTACCAGATGACAGGACTATGAAGATAAAAATAAATTTCTATGGTAGTATTGAGGGCAGCGAGGCTCAGGTTCCGGGCAGGGATGCAGAGAGTGGCTTCTTGGAGGAGAATGGAGATGGATTCATTCTTTGTGTCTCTATAACTGTGAGTTAGCAATATTTGTGTACATTAGAAAAATGCTTCATGGTGACCACTGCTTACTCAGAGAAGAGAAAGCCTTAGGATTTTTCCTCAGGACAATATCAGTATATGGAGTCCTGATGTGATGATGCACACAAAGCTAATCTCAAGGTCGTCAGTTCAAACCCACCATCCACTCCTTGGAAACCTTGTTCAGGGTCGATATAAGTCAAAACTGGCTTGATGGAAATTGATAACAACATAGCAGTATATACAGAGAAACAGTGACCAAAGTTTCTAGAATATAAAATAGGCAACATAATGATAAGAAAGTGGGTATTTCCCACACAAATAATGGCAGCTTGACTTGTGATTTATGTTGAATTTTGGGAGGAATTTATAACTTCACCAATTTGGCTTAGTCTATTCTTATTTAGTATCCAGGGATATATGGGCAGTGGTGGCAGTAGAAGAAAGCAGGAAAGGAAATAAATGTTCTCCACTCTAAAGGGAAGTTTTGGAAGGGAAATACATGGTAGAAGAAAGGAAGATTGGTGAATAGTTGCCAATTTTAGGATTTGGAGGAGAAATAAGAAAGGATCTTACAGGAAAGTGATCCACAGTAGTGCCTTAACCGGGAGAATCTTTGCTGCTATGTGTATATTCACACATGTGTGTTTACACATTTACACATTACACATGTTTTTTGTCAAAATATATATCATAAATATATTTCTTCAAATTCTATTCTTTACTTCTAGTTCTCCTTATATGGTGGAAGTTACCTTTCTAAAACCAAAGAAAGAAAATGTAATGATTGCATTTAAAAGAATTGATAGTTCCTTTATTGCACCAGGAAAAAGATCCAAACTGGGTATGACACTCAAGGCTTTCAGAATCAGACCTCATTGATTTGTGCATACTCAGCTCACAGAAATGTGCACGTACTATTTTGGTTAGAAGGACCATCATTCTCTGTGCACACTGCCATCTTAATATCTCAGTGTCTTTGTTAATTCATTCCCAAACACAATTTCAGGATCACATTTTTCTAGGAAAACTTCTGCAATATCTGTCCACACTAGAATTAATCTTTCCTTCCTTTATACATTGACAGGGCATTGTTCATAATGTTAGCACAGCGCATGCCACTCTGTATGTAGCTTACACCAATCTTTATTGTCCACTGCTGTTAAGTGCCTTTGTGTCAGTACCAATTCATACTGAGCCTGTATAGGGTTTCTGAGGAGCAGCTGGTGGGTTAGAACTGCCAACCTTGTGATTCTCAGTCCAGTGCTGATCCTACATTGCCACAGCAGAAGTCTCCTAGACTGTGTGACTTCTCTGACGGGTGCATCCTAGTCTTATTCTCTATGTATTTATAGGAATTAGCATAGAGCTGTATTTATGTGGACTCTTGGTGTGGCACTGTAGGATAAGTACTGATTGCTAACCACAAGGTCAGCAGTTCAAAGCCACCAGCTGCTCCTTGGGAACCCTATACAAGGTTCCTATGAGTGGGAACCGAGTCCATGGCATGTAACACCAGCAACAGTATTTATGTATGTGGCATTAAATTGAATTGGTTGACAGCAATTGGGTTCCTGGGATGTTGCTGAGTCCATTCTTGCTGAGTGGAGTTTTATTATGGTCTCTTTCATCTGGCCTCAAGGCTACGAAGACAGAAGGTGAATCCTCATGTTTGAAATAGTCAAATGCAAAGCACATACCAATTCAGTCAACCGTCAGTATTTATTGAGCGCTTTCTAGATGCTAGTGTTTATTCTAGGCTTGGGATACAGTGGTGAGCAAACCATAAAGTTTTCTACATTCTAGTGAGAAGAGAAAGGCAATAAAAATGATGAATAAAGATTGACTATTTTAGGCAATAGTCTGGACTATGAAGAAAAAATAAAAATAGGGGGTGACAAGTAGTGTGTTATTTTAGATACAGTGGCCTTTCTAGGCCTCTCTGAGAAAGCAACATTTGAGGAGAAACCAAATAATGTGAGGAAAAAAAGACATGAAGCTTTTGGGGGAAATAACAAACTTGGGAGTTAGAACAACAGTTCAAAGGCCTTGAGGCAGATATTTTCTTGAAAATGAAGATCAGAGAGGCTGGAATAGAACCCTTGGTGGGCAGAGTGGAAACTGGAGAAGACATAGGAACAGATATGTCTGCTTCACTTGGCTTCTCTTTTGTTCTGCAGCTAGTGCCTTCTTAATAAACAAATTGCCCCTTCCTGTCAACAATGTCCTACCACCCTTACCTCTGGACAACATTCTTCCTTTCATGGATCCATTAAAGCTTCTTCTGAAAACTCTGGGGATTTCAGTTGAACACCTTGTGGAAGGACTAAAGAAGTGTGTGGATGAGTTGGGACCAGAAGCCTCTGAAGCCGTGAAGAAACTGCTGGTAACTACAGGCTTGGGGGTTGATTTGTCAATGGGAAGGGATTAGTCCCCATGAAGACCCACTTCCCGGTCTTGCTTCCACCTCATTCTATTATCACTTGCAACGATAGATTTCCCTTTAACTAACCATCTTTACAGAAATTTTACATGTCCCAGAATCTCAAGTAAAGTGCATTATTTCCAGGACTTTTGTATGAAAGATTTGTGTTGTAGCTTTGGCTTTACCAATTACCAGCTCTATGATTTTGGATGAGACTTCAGAATTCAGAGACTTTGTTTTCCTGTCACTCAAATGATAGCTAAAAGTGAGAGTGAATAGTGTTGGTAAAGTGGTAACTATATCTAAACTGCTCTTATTTTCACTGCTGTCCTTCTGCTTTTCAGGAGGCCCTGTCACATTTAGTGTGACGCCAGGAGACAGCAAGAGTAGAGGTGGATGTGGAAGGAGGAGACTGCTCTCATCCCCTGGCTGAAACTCTTTTGTATGCAAATATAGATTAACATCCTCAAATGTAGTAATCTTTGAAAAGAATGAATAAAGCATGTCAACCAATTTCAGTTTGTCCTGATTTTGTTTCTGGAGGACCTATTCAGAAGGTCCTAACTAGATAACATTTCCCATGGATAATAAACTTTAGAGAACCTATTGTTACACAGATGACCCACCTCCCTCCTTAGGAGTGCCAGGGACACAGTTAAGCCCTTGACTAGTAACTGAAAGCTAGGACATTTGAAGCCACCCATAGATGCCTGGTGAAGCAGGCTGGGTGGTCTTCTGAACGGCCATAATTATGACAACTCAAGGAGAACATTTCTACTCAGCAACACAGGCACTCTCCACACATTGAAAAGAATCGAGGACAACTGGTCATTTGTTTCCCCTCTTCTTTTATCCATGGTGAATGTACACACCCACTGTCTTCGTTTGTTTTCTGTTTTTTGTTTTTTTTTTAAACTGAACAGTGTTTCCAGATCCCTCATTCTTCTACTTCTCCACTTTTAAAGACATTTAAAAACTTATAATGAGAAAGAAATGTCAAAGTATTGAATGGCAAGGCTAAGTAAGATCTTATTAGAATCATTTAGAGTCTACCTCATTAGAATGCTGGTGTAGTGTACTAGGACCACTTCATGAACTCTGGTGTGGTGCTATAGGATAAACACTGTACTAGTTAGTAACTGCAAGGGCAGCAGTTCAAACCCACCAATCTCTCTTGGAAACCCTATACAGGGTCACTATGAGTTGAAACCAATTCTCTGGCACACAATAACAACAGCAGAACAACTCCATAGCATTCACACTGGTTATTAAGTTAGCTTTTATTACAGTATCCTTGGATAAATGGGTTCTGAACTATTCTTCCCTTTTTCCCATTTTACCATCTTCAGTGATGCCAGAAGTCTTGATGTGGTGCTGTGGGATAAAGCACTGGAATACAAGGTGCAAACTCACCTGCTGCTCCTTGGAAACCCTGTACAGAGTTGTTGAGTCAGAACCGACTTGAAGGCACTCAAGAACAACAACAACAAAATTAAACTGGTGGGGAGTCCACACCATTCTACCTTCTACAGTGATGCCAGAATTCCCTAATATAGAACTGGTGTGACGTTCTGGTGTGGTGCTATAGAATAAGCCCTGAACTCTTAATTGCAAAGTCAGTGGTTGAAACCCACCAATCCCTCCTCAGAAACCTATGCAGGGTTGCAGTGACTGACTTGATGGCACTTAACAACAACACCAATAAACATCAACAACATAAACCTGGTTATATATCATAGCAACCTATACAACAGACTTAAACTTCCTTAATATGGCATAGTCCCTGGTGGCACAAACTGTTTGTACTTGATTGCTAACCAAAATGCTAAGTGTTCAAACCACCCGGCAGCACCATGGGAGAAAGACCTAGTGATCCACTTCCATAAGATTACAACCATTGAAAATTCTGAGGTCAGTATGAGTCAGAATGGATCATGGGATCACCTTAAGTAAGAACTGATTTGACAGCAGCATGTCTTTTGTTTGTTTTTAGCCTGGCATACAAGGTCCCTCATGACCTGACATTTCCTTACTTATCTACTCTTATCAGTAGACCTTTCTTCACATGTGCTCTAAGAAATTATGTAACACTGAAAAGATAATTAAATCCCATTCCTACCAACACTCAGGCAACTTAATGAAAAACAAGTGTCTTTCAAATTCCAAATGGAATACCTGCCATGATCTACCTTCACAGCTGGGCTTGTGATGGTCTTGCGACTCCCTACCCAAAGACCTATTTTCTGTCTTTCCTCTTTGTTTTCTACTGGGGAGAGAGAGGAATGATACTGACCCTTGCAGATTGCATTTGTCAGGTCCCATGTTAGCTGACTTTGCAGCTGGGTTGGTATACAGACAAAAGATAAGAGATGAGAAAAAGGAAAAACCAGAATATAACTCCCTCTACCTGTCTGTCCTGATGTGGCACTGAAGAATAAGCATTGAATTGCAAAGTTGTTTGAACTGCAAGTTTGCTTGAACTGCAAGTTTGCTTGAACTGCAAGGTCAGTGGTTCAACCTCACCAGCCACTCCTTGGAAATCCTATATAAGGTTGCTATGAGTTGGAACCAACTTGATGACACTTAACAACAACAACCTGTTTTGGAAGAAGATTTTGGAAGTGGCTCTGCAAGGAGCTCTGGTAGTATAGTAGTTATGAATTGGATTGCAAACTGCAAGGTCAGCAGTTCAAAACTAGAAGTGGTTCCATGGGAGAAAGATGAGGCTTTCTGCTCCCGTAAAGATTTACAACCCTGTACAGGGTTGCTATGAGTCAGAGCCGACTCCACGGCAAATAAGCACAACTGCATGCAATGTCTGAGGTTTCAGATCTTACTGGATAGTCCTGTATTCAGTTTAGCTTTGGACAGGTGAGCTCTGACTATGCCTTTATTTTCTTCACTTCTCCAGCTGAACTTGGTAGTGGCTTCTTTCTATTGGGTTTCTAGATTGGTTCACCATCATTTGCTTGCTTGGAATTTTAGCTCTTTTATCGTCCATGGCACATAACCACCATCATATATTATTGTTGTTAGGTGCCATCGAGTCAGTACCAACTCATAGCAATCTTATGCACAGCAGAACGAAACACTGCCCGATCCTGGGCCAACCTCACTACACTTACCACGCTTGAGTCTATCGATGCTGCCACTTGGCCAATCCATTGTGTTGGAGGTTTTCCTTTTTTTCTCTAACCTTCTACCTTAAAAAAAACCATGATATCCTTCTCCAGTGACTAGTCCCTCCTGACAATATGTCTGAAGTATGAGAGAAGAAGTTTGGCCATCTTGGCCTCCAAGGAGCACTCTGGCTGCACTTCTTCCAAAATGGATCTATTGGTTCTTTTGGCAGCCCACGGCACTTTCAATATTCTCCTCCAACACCATAGCTCAAAAGCATCAATTCTTCTACAGTCTTCCTTATTCACTGTCCAGCTTTTGAATGTGTATGAGGCTATTGAAAATACCATGGCTTGGGTCAGGTGCACCTTAGTCCTCAAGCTGGCATCTTCTCTCTTCAACACTTTAAAAAGGTCCTGTGCAGCAGATTTGTCTAATGCAATACATCACCTGATTTCTTGGCTGCTGCTTCCATGAGTGTTGATAGTTGATCCAAGAAGAATGAAGTCCTTGACAACTTCAATCTTTTCTCTGTTGACACGAATGTTGTTTATTGGTCCAGTGTTGAGGCTCCTTGTTTTCTTCACATTGAGATGTAATTCATACCGAAGGCTGTGCTCTTTGATCTTCATCAGTAAATGTTTTAAATCCTATTCACTTTCAGCAAGCAAGGTTGTATCATCTGCATATTGCAGGTTGTTAATGAGTCTTCCTCTAATCCTGACACCATGTTTTTCTTCATATAACCCAGCTTCTCAGATTATTTGCTCAGCACACAGGTTGAATAAGTATGGTGAAAGAATAAAACCTGTCTCACACCTTTCTTAATTTTAAACCATTCAGTGTTCCCATGTTCTGTTTGAATAACTGCTTCTTGGTCCAGGTACAGATTCCTCATGAGCACAATTAAGTGTTCCGGAATATATATATATATATATATATATATATATATATATATATATATAATGCATCAGACTGCAGAGTCATTTAAACTGCAAGGTTGGTGGTTCAAACTCACCAACTGTTCCTTGGAAACCCTATACAGGGTTGCTATGGCTTGGAATCGATTTGAGGGCACTTAACAACAACAAATCATATAATTGATCAATTATTTTTATTACATTCCTTCTTTTATAAATTGTCACTTTTTCTTGTTTGGTGGTGGTGTACCATGAAGTCGGTTCCAACTCATATTGACCCTATACATGGTTTCCGAGACTGTAAATCTTTTTCACAGAACAACTGGTAATTTCAAACTTCTGACCCTGAGGCTAGCAGCCCGATTGTAACCACTTCACTACCAGAGTTTCTTGTCTGGATCCTGACTAACTCAATGCTAAATGACATTTCCTCTATAAAGATACTGATGTCTAGTCTACCCTCAGAGTTACTCTGCCCTTTTTTTGTAGCTAGAATAGTTGCACTTCATGACATTTCTAGCTCTCATTCCTTGTATCACCTGTGTTTAACAATAGACTACACTGCCCTGCTATACTAACAAGCAACTGGAAGTCTCAGATACTTATATTCATGTTCTGACTAAAAACAGCAGGTGGCGCTCAAAGGATATTAGTGACAACATGGGACTTACATTTGTATATTTTCAAGACATGTTAACACTTTCCATTGTATTGAATTTTTCATTGGGACCTCACAACTAAATGGAAATTATCGGTTGCTATTTCTTTCTAGTAACTACCCCTTGTTTCATTATGAGCATTTTTCTTTTTCTTTTCTTTTCTTAATAGTACATTCTCTGTTGTGTTCTGCTACTAGCTAGCTGTGCATCTTTATCAAATGAGAACCGTGTTTTCAGACTAGAAAATGGCAATGATGGTAGAAATGTTGCTGTTCTTGTTAAGTGCAATTGAGTAGGTTCCAACGCATAGTGACTCTGTATAGGGTTTCCGAGAAGCAGCTGGCCTGGTGAGTTTGAACCGCAGACCTTGTGGTTCAAACCAACTTTGAAGTCCAGTGCATTAACCCTCAATGCCACACCAGGACTCCAGTAATAGGTATTTCTTATTTGTTTTTTACTAAGGAGCTCTGGTATCGTAGTGGTTATGAATCAGGCTCTGAACCGCAAGGTCAGCAGTT